AAATGCTTCATGTAGTGTTATATAGCAATAACACTTAGATTATATATCACTTCATAGTGCTTTACAACACTCTCTACATGGGTTTATAATGTCAGTGTATTGGCCTCAACAATCTGGGTCCTTGTTTTACCAACCTCTCAAATGGATGGAAAGCTGAATCAACCTTGAGTGGTCAGGATCAAATTCCTGGCAGTGGGCAGAATTAGCCTGTAGTACTGCATTCTAACCACTGTGCCACCTTAGTTCCTTAAATCTGCTTAGCATCAAGTTTTTGAATCATATTTTTATATTATTGTAGGATTTTTTAAAAAATCAACATATGGTTCAAAGCCTTTTGATAACTGCAGGTGTTATTCTGAATAATGATAAATGAATTGCTTGTTTTCTTTGCAACATTTACAAGACGGAATACAACTACAAGTGTGAATGTGTGTCCATGTGATATTCTGCTGTGAAATTGGGGTTGCTCTACTGAGATAATGCAAATTATATTGGGGGGGAAATATGGTATATTGAAAGATAACACATGTTCCATGACTATTATCCACATCATCAGACTCATTTTCCCATGAAAGTGTGGTTTTCAATAAATGAACCACTGTATCAGTATTGCTAATGGATAGGATCAATCCCAATTCTTCAGATAAATTCTCCAGGTTCTTACTTATATCTCCAGTGTTTATATAAGACTGAAACTGGGAATCACAAACATTGAGGGTAGGATCTGTATTGTTATTCTCATATATTGATTGAAATGTTTGTATAGTCCAACTGGGCTAGTTTCTGTAATAATTGGAGATGGCTTTTGTTCACTGAAAGTCAAACATTACATATAAACTCACCTTGTAAGGGTTTGGTTTTTTAAAGACAAGCCCTGTAACACTAAGTTACAATCAAACTAAGAAGGCAAAGATAAAATTCTGGATACAGTTTGGCACTCAATTTATAACATCCTCTAGCAAAAATTTCCTGGTTTTGCCCTCTTTGGAACAATCAAAGATAAGTGCATTTGTTTTGGGTTAAACAGGCCTTTCTAAATGTGTTCCTGATGATATACAATTATTTAATTATTTTGTTTTAGGACAACATTAATATTCATGACATTCATAAAGACCTCAAATCTTCTAGTATTACAACATGTTTCATATACAATCCATTATTTGTATAATGTCTATGTATTTATTTATTTTTGCTGCAATGACTAATCCTAAACCACAATAAAAGTTTTAATCATGGGTATGCCATTAACTTCTTTTTTAAAAAGGGATTGTGATATCATTGTCCTCAATAGTTTCTTCATAAGCATTTTTTCATTCCTCAGTTCTAATTATAATTCAGGCAACTAAACTTTTACTAAATTTATATTAAAAGCTCTCTTAATTTTATTTCAGGAGAACTCTGTGATGAAGTAATCAACCATTGCGTGCCTGAACTAAACCCTTGCAAACATGAATCCAAATGTATTTCTCTTGATAGAGAATATAAGTAAGTATGTACTATTGATATGTTAAAAT